CGAGGATGCCTCTACCTCGGTGAGGCCTCATTGGGAACGAGCCGGACCTATAGCAATGTGGTTGACTGGTTGGGGTGCAGGTGATGCGGTAGTGGTCGCTAGCATGAAGGATAGTGAGGTTAAGAGGGAAGACAGAGAGGAGACTGTGATCTCTGAATGCACATACTTAAGTTGTGATCCCTCGGACCATGTTTATGTACTAGAATACACATGCTACCTAGGTAAAAGGGATTTTTTTTACTAATGAGTATCTAGAGGAGTTTGTTTTACCATGGTGGTATCTAGAGTACAGAGATGTTGCCCCATGACCGTGAGGAAGAGACTCAAATACTAACTTATAGTGGTAGTCCCAATAGTATTATACGTTATGTCCAAAAGATTATTGAATATGTGAAAAGGTCATAATTGGTAGAGAAGTCTATACCACAAACCAATATCGTATATTTCTTATATTTCACCGATAAACGTCCTACATGTTGTACTGGATCCTATTAACTAGATTTATATATATAATTTCATGCACAAAATTGTATCCTCGAAACTAACACGAGCTCTTGTATACACTGGATGAAACCAGATGAACAACAAATGGGCGCGTCATCTTTGGTCTAGGGAGCCAATTAGTGCTCCAGATTTCAGTAGTTGTCCCATTATCAACTCGTCTTACTAGGCCTTGCTTCATTATGTCTCTCCCTTCTAATATTGATCGCCACACCTATGAGGGGTGGTTCCCCAAGCTGGCTTCAAGAATAGAACAAGGAGGAAAATAAATTCCTTTTAGGATATGAGCACTCAATGACTCCGGGGAAGTAAGGATCCTCCATGACTCTCGTGCCAACAAAGCTAAATTGAATAGTTTAAAGTCCCTGAAACCAAGGCCTCCCATATATCGTGGCATGCACATCTTATCCCAAGACACCCAATGTGGCTTCCTTTTTCCTTACTTACTTCACTAAAAGAATGACCTTATTGCCAAAGAAAGCTTCTCACGTAGCCCCCGAGGCAACTTAAAGCAAGATATTGAGAAAACTGGGATGGCTTATGCAACTGATTTAATCAAAACATCTTTACTTGCCGTTTTGACATTGGTTTCTCCATCCACCCATGAATCTTACTCCACAGTCGGTCAACCAAATATTTAAAAGCACCATTCTTAGATATTCCCGCATCACTAGGAATACCCAAGTATTTATCCTAAGCTTCTCATTTGAAACTTGGAGAATATTCTTCACTTGTCTTCTGACCATCTTCGGGCAGCCTTTACTGGAAAAAAAATGACTGACTTCTCTCCATTAATCCGTTGTTGTGATGCTCTAGCATAGGATTCCAACAAAAGAGATACTTCATTGGCCTCCTCCGCATTTCACTTTAAAAACAACATGCTGTAATTTGCAAACAACAAGTGGTTCACTGGCGGAGATGTTGGGACCACTTTAATTGAAGCAACATTGAGCTACAGGACAGATGGGCTTTGATGAATTAGGCCCAAGGCCCGGACGGCACTACACTTTCGTGCCAGGGAGGTTAATAACAGATAACATTATTTGTGCATATGAGTGTCTGCATTTTATGAAGAGAAACAGGTCAAAGAATAATAGCTTTTGTGCTTTGAAGCTAGATATGATGAAAGCTTATGACAGGTTGGAGTGGCCTTATTGGAAAGCTATCATGCAAAAATTGGGTTTTGCACAGGTACGGATTGACACAGTTATGAACATGGTTTCATCAGTTTCCTTCTCAGTTTTGTTCAATGGAGAAAGACTTGAAGCTTTTACACCATCCAGAGGAATTCGGCAGGGAGATCCAATATCCCCTTACCTCTTCTTGATTGTAGCAGAGGGCCTCTCGTGCCTCCTGAAAACTAGTTTTCAGTCATCACTTCTTGCAGGTGTTAAGGTGGCTCCCACGGCTCTGGCCGTTAACCACCTTTTATTTGCAGATGGTAGCATGTTGCTTTTCAAGTCGAGTGTGGAGGGAGCAGAACTTGTATCAAACCTACTGAATAGGTATTGTAATGCTTCGGGTCAGAGAGTAAATCATGCAAAATCTTCCATCTTTTTCAGCAGAGGATGTCCACAAGCTACCAGAGAGGGGGTGAAAAATAGCCTCCAGGTGCAAAACGAAACCTTGAGTGATCGCTATTTGGGCATGCCCACTGATGTTGGACACTCCAAGAACGGAATGTTCAAATATCTGCAGGATAGAGTGTGGGAGAAAATAAGAGGATGGATGGAAAAATTGATGTCAGCTACCGGCAAGGAGGTCTTAATAAAGTCAATTGCGCAAGCAATTCCAGTTTATTCTATGTCATGTTTCCGGTTGCCAAGGGATGTGTGTGAGGATATCACCTCTCTCATACGTCAGTTCTGGTGGGGAAGTAAAAGAGGAAAGAGCAAACCAGCATGGGTTGCATGGGATGTGATGATCAGACCAAAGTACATGGGGGGTATGGGATTCAGAGATTTGGAGATGTTCAACTTAGCGTTATTAGCAAGGCAGGCATGGAGAGTCATCATTGATGATGAGTCCTACTCAAAGCAGCTTATTATCCAAATTGCTCATTGCTTGATGCAACTCTTGGACCACATCCATCTCAGATTTGGAGGGCCGTAATTGACGGTAGAGATGTGCTTGCTCAAGGAATTATACGTAGAATTGGAGACGGAGAGACTACCAACATTTGGCATCATAACTGGATACCGAGACCAAGCTTCAAGCGACCGATTACCTCTTTAGTACCGGCTCCACCGGAGAAAGTATCTGAGCTTATTGATACAACCACAGCCTCGTGGAAAGAGGGACTGGTGAGAGCAGTATTCACCCCCTTCGACGCCGATGAAATTTTGAAGATCCCTTTGTGCACTAGACGGGTAGATGATTTTTTGGGCTTGGAGTGAGACCCCGAGGGGAATTTTCACAATAGCGTCGGCATATCACATGCTTGTGACAACAAAAATCAGCAGAGAAAATTGGTTGGAGGGGAGGGAGGAGTCATCGCTTATAAACATGGAGTGTGGGGAGTGGAACAAGCTATGGAAATTGCATGTGTCGTCTAAGATCAAAGTGTTTGCATGGAGACTGGCTAGGCACCCGATCCCTGCGGGCGAGGTGCTACACCACCGCCATATGGCCACAACAGTAGCATGCATGCCCTTTATGCGGAGCTCAGGATACATGGAAGCATGCTTTACTAGAGTGTCCGATGCCTCGCTGTACATGGGCCTTGTCTTCGGTAGAAATGTTGGATCAGCTTTGCATCGTTCAACATGACAGTGCAGAAAGATGGCTATTTGCCCTTCAAGAGAGCCTTAATGCCGATGAGTTTATCAGGTTGGTGGTCACTCTTTGGGTAATTTGGGGAGCTAGAAGAAAAGCAATACACGAAGGAGTATTCCGGAGTCCTCAATCCATCAACGACTTCATAAGATCTTACTTATCAGAGATTAAAATGATCTATCCTCAAAAAGTGGCAGCGGCCAATGCGACTACGGCAAGACCATGACGGTGGCTACCACCGGTGGAAAATCATGCCAAAATAAACACCGATGCCGCGGTTGGAGGCCGGGGGAGTTTTGATGCAGTTGCAGCAATTTGCTGAGATGAAGCGGGAAAGTTTGAGGGCGTGTCGGCTATCGTATACAGAACAATCGGAGATCCAACAACGCTTGAAGCCTTGGCTATACGAGAAGCCCTTTCCCTTGCCGATGATCTATACCTCCAGCGAGTTCATGTGGCTTCGGATTGCATGGAAGCAGTGGAGGAAATCTCGAGTGATGGTGCATCAAACTATGGTGCAGTTATTCAGGAGATTAGGTTGCATGCAGTTTCTTTTAATTCATGTAATAGTTCACGGATTTAGGAGCTCAAATTTTGATGCTCACAACCTTGCGAAATATGCGTTGGGTCTTGGGCTTGGTCGCCATGTTTGGTTAGGCTAGCCTGAGGGTATTCCCTTCGTCCATGTAAACATTGTGACGGATGAATAAAGTTTCGTAGGGTTGCCTCAAAAGAAAAACTAAGCAAGCAAACCATCCTTCCTTCCAAAGAGATTTCCCCCAATGTTTCTCAAAAAGAAAAAG